CTGTGGAACCAGATTAGCTATTTCCAAAAATTGAGATTTTTGAGAAATTGAGAATTTATTGTTTTCTCTTACCACCAACACATTTGAGTTCTGTTAAGTTGATTGTGGAACCAATTGATTGCCTGCTGATCAAAGCCCAGAGACAGCATGACAGTAAGTCTGCTATTAAACATTAACACTATTATATACCTATGGCAGCAACTCAAACCGCAGCCTAAAGCGGCCAAAGCCTCCTATGTACCACATTTGACAAAGCTTGCTGACTTGTATGGGGTATCTTAGTGATATCACCAGTCTTATGATGTCAATTCAGTGCAAAGCAGCAGGAGCTAAAATAGCAATGGTCATATTTCAGCTCCTTAATGACCTTGTTATTTAGGGGATCCTGCGGCGTTCATTCCATAAGCATTTGGAACATTTTTATCCACCACAGGATGTGACATCAGTGATTTTCAAAACCACGAATCATTTCTGTCATCGAGAAATCCAGCTTAGACCCTTATTAGTTCCTAATATGGGCACAATAGTGAGTGCATTTACATGCACTTAATTATTTTATAACTGCAGAAAATCAGATTTTGTCAGTAATCCATATTTACATGCACTTGAGTAATCAGATAATGGGAAACTCTGGGTCTACATGAGTCAGGCAGCAACCGGCCAATAAACTCACAGAAGATGTGACGAAATGGAACATAAAACTTCATGCCGTGGCTTTTTAAAAAAAAAACAAAAAAACATCGCACCACTTATGAAAAATATGAACATACATATTTATGTTTAAAGAATATTTAAATCCTTCATTTAGTTAAGCATGTAGTTGGTCTCAGCACCACTCCAAAAGTGTTTTGCTGCCATCTCACAGCAACGCTGCTCACTTATTTCCAGTACCGCGGTCTGTTTTTTCACATGCACTGAGAAATCTGATTACTGAACTAAAATCCAGCTCTCTTTATCACATTTCTTAATCAGATTTCTAGACCTTAATCTGATCTTAGAAATTGGAGTATGGTGTTTATGTGGCCATTTAAATAATCAGATAACTGCAGAAATCTGATTATAATCAGATTATTGAGTGTTAGGGAGGGTCTCTGCATTTCACCTGATGATAGGTGGTGATGGTGGCAAGAGAGATATGATATTATTGGTTAATGTTTTTTTTCCCCGCTTTTTGGAGCGGTCATCAAAAAATCAGAAGAGCTTCTGGAGGTGGGCTAACACCTCGATCGAACATTATGGGAAAACAATAGTTTTGTCGTTTACATGAATGTATGTAATGAATCATTTTTAATATGACCAGGAACAGGTACTAACAAGAAAAAATGAGAATTCTCATTTCAGGTTGACTGCAATGTTAATTAACGTCTAATAAAATAGCAAAATAGCCCAAAAGCTGTTGCATGTGGTGTAATGAAAGAAGAACAGTGATGATAATGAAGTGTGTCTGCAGCCATACTGAGTCCTCACATGCTGCTAAGTAGATTCTAGTCAATGCTCTAACTAAAACGCACTGGCTGGTATCCCAGTTTACAGAATGCAAGTATGCTCACTGGATTATAAACCATGTGTTACACAGTGATGCTCCAAAGCAGTCTCTCTTTCTGGACCAGCCTGCAGACAAATCTGACTCAAGGAAGCAAAATGTGGGACGGCCTGTAATGTCCAGGAGTTTTACAGAAAACACAGTTACGTTTTCATCTAATTCAGTGCTTGTAAAACACTGGTTAAAGGGGATTTTTTAAAAATGATCTGCCTAATTAAGAAAGCCTTTCAGAGTGGTTTGGTTTGAAATGCTCTGTTCTGGAGAAACTTGCCAAGTCAAAATTGTTCTCAGCCGTGGTGATAGGAAACAGATGTATGAAGCTTTTAATGCCACAAAATAGTTATTAATTTGCTTCATGATGTCTGAGACATTGTTTTATGGTAGTTTTGAAAAGGTTTTGGTCTAAAACGTATTTCTTAAGTCAGTGCAGGTTGACGTAAGTCAAAAAAGACAGTGAGAAAACTTCCATCATCCAAAACTACCATCATCAACACTACACATACAAACTCAGAAGACATTTGTGGATTCACCGGTGGTTTTATTGACATTGTGACCCCTGGTTCCTATCATCACCACTGTAAAGAAATCTGAGTTTCTCTACTGTGAACCATTTCAGATCTAACTACGCAGATGAAGCTGCACAGAAATGTTCTTAGCTTCTGCAGAAGCTACAACACAACCAGAGACAGGACAAAGAGTTTGTCACAATCCAGTACGTGTTGCTGTTAATTGCACTCGCTAACAAGTTTATCATGCGCCAATTACTTTAGCAAGCTTGCGTGTGTCTGACGCCACGTCTGCTCAATGAACCGGGTGAACTATTAGCGAAAAAGTGGAAAATACACAACGACAAGCAAACCCACTTGGATTGAAGTGGGAGGCATTTGAATCTCTTGTTCAGAGGCGAGAAACCTTCACTTTCCACAGAATCACAAAAAGTGCTGCAGAAAGCCTTCCCCACTGTTAAGGTTGGTGTGCTTGGAATACTATTATACAATGCTTGGTCTGATGCATCCTTCTGAATTGAACTCTAATCCCAGCAGTAGATAGACCATTCTCTGCATTCTTTACACACCTACACAAGACTCTCAGACTGTTTTGTAGCCTGTGTTGGTATGTAAAGAATACTGTAGCATCTGTCTAGCTTTGCTTGCTAACTCAGACACAAACACGAGAATGAGTTTGTGGGAATGGACTTCTGCATATAATTTTAGATGCAGTGAAATACTGGTTTGAATGCGGATGTACAGTACTGTGCAAAAGTCAGAGACCACCCTTCATTTGGTTAATTTCCAGTCAAAATGGCCGTTAAGGCTGAGTAATTCATTTTTCAGGAGATTTGAGATAAGATAGTGCACTTATAAGGGAGGAAAATGAGTGAAAAATAAAGAAAAACATTGAAAAATACAGAAAACGGGACTTCTAATTCCGACCATTAACACCTAGTAGACCACCAGCACTGTCCCCATCAGATAAACAGCACTTAAAGCTTTCATCTTTGAGAGAGAGGAGAAAATCAAGCTGCTTCAGATCTGAAAACATCCACAGGAGTTTCTGTCCATCCTTCCACTGTGAGAAGACAACTCAGCGCTATGGATCTGAAAGGATGTGTAGCTGTTAAGAAGCTCTTACTGAGAAAAGGAGACACATCAAACAAAGCAGCTGAACCTGACTGACCACCCCAGAGTCTGGACCTCAACACCACTGAATGTGTTTGGGGTTTACTGACTCTAAGAAACAGAAAATGCTAAACCAACTTCTAAGACTGAACTTTGTAGGTGTGGGAAAATATCCCTGCAGACTTCTTTGAAAAAAACCAAAGCAAGTCTCCTGAAAAGAATAACAGCAGTGATAAAAGTGAAGAGTGGACACTTTAAATACTGAAATAAAAGAAAAAAGTATAACTTGTAACTAATGACCATTATGACTGGAAATGAAATAAATCAAGGGAGGCCTCAGACTGCAGCCCAGTCCTGAGTGGATGTGAGAGTGGATGTGAGAGTGTTTGGGCGTGTTGTGTGTGTGTGTGTGTTGGGATGGGTTGGATTTCGGTTTTGCCTGTGGAGCTGAAGGAGAATGAAGAAGCACTGAATGGTGAATGTGGTTTGATGTGGTTTGCCTCTCTGCCTCTAAATGATGTTCTTTCATTTTCTCACCGTGACAGGAATAGACACAAAGCACAGCTATTCCAGAGCCTTCAGTCTTTGCCTTTTCTCTCGTTCTCTGTCTTCTCCTTCTTCCTCTTCTGGTTAAGTCACACTCTGTTCCCGAAACTATCACCTAGAGCTGAAACAACGATCTGAAATCATTACTCACTCACAAAAAGCCCTCCTAAAAATGCGCTTGTCTGAAAGGAAGGGCGAGCGTGTGACTTGACTCGGTGACATCTGTGCTTTCTCTCACACCTCTCCTTCTCTCCCTCTCTCTCCTGGTGTAGATACAGTTCAGCTCAAACACAGATGGAGACGATTGCCTATCTATCTGTAGATAGAGCTCACACCCTGCAAGAAAATAATATCTTGGCAAGTGAGAGTTTTATAAACATGTGCAAAAGTTTGCGCACCCCCGTTCAGATTTCATGTACTGTTGACTTTCTAAGTGAACGCAGCCTCTACAGTGAACACACTTCTGCACATTTTAATGCACAAGCACTGTGTATTTGCTGAATTTAACATATTGGGGGAAAAAAAATAAACATAAAACTGGGCCTGTGCAAAAGTTATGGCACATTTTCTGTTTTATTTAATTTCCAATATGATACACTGAGCATAAATAGAAACGGTGCACTAAAATGTGCAGAAAAATCCATATCTTTTCTTAGAAAATCAACAAAACATGTAATTTGACTAGTGATGTACAAACCTTTGCATGCAACTATATCTAATATTTCTCATTTTGAGATTATTGTAAGAAAATTATAAGGTGATTTAGTCTGTTTGTGGGTTTTTACTTGATTTAAGTCAGTTTATCTGGAACAACTGTCTCATTCTGTTCTCATTATGTAAGTATTTCTTTAAAAAATGAAGTTATATGCATTATGTCAAAAGTTATGTTCCAATAGAGTGAGACAATGTTCTAGATAAAATGACTTATAACAAGCAAAACACATTAATAAATGTTATCTTATAATATTCTTACAACAATCTCATATTGAGAAATGTTAGCTAGATTAACTGCTGAATAATCTTTGCCAAGACTTTATTTTGCAGTGCGCTAACGTATCCACCATCTGCCAGTGCAGCAAACTCATTTTACCTTATATCGGTCATTTTAATTGCTGCATCCCAGAGTTTGTTTGCTTTGCAGATGGTGACCATCAGCTTGACCCTCACTTATTGTCATGTGCCACTAATTTTTTTAATATTTGAAATTGATTTTCATATATGCATGCAGATTTAGCGAGTGTTTTATATTTTGTGCTTTGTGTGTGTGTGTGTGTGTCTGTGTGTGTGTGCAGTGCCTGCTCCTAGAAGATTACGTTTTAAGGAGCTAGGCTCAGGCATGCTCACTGTGTCCTGGAAGGAGCCGAAAGGAGAGTTTGACAGCTACAGGCTCACCTACAGCTCAGGTAAGCACATATATTGGCTGGTGACTCACTTTTTCCCCGTTCTTTTACACAAGAAGGTCCTTTGAGAGGTTCTTGCAGGTGAATCATGAGCTGGCCTTGCTTGTTGGACACAAAAACATGACAACTACCCCTGCACTCTTAAAAAAGATGGTTCTTCAAGGGTTCATTAGTAAAAAAAAATAGTTCTATATAGAACCACGAACACTCAAAGAAACCTTTGCATGACTAAAGAGTTCTTTGGATCAGGAAGGTGTAATTTAAATTAGTGGAGAATGTACTGTAGATGGTTCTACAAAGGATCTTTTCAAAAACGGTTCTATATAGCACCCTAAATGGTTCTTCTATGGTTATGATGTCAAGCTTGTTACAATAGAAGAACCATTTTGGGTGCTATATAGAACCTTTTCAAAAAGGTTCTATATAAATCCATGTTCTCTATTAATCTGAAGAACAAAGAAGAACTGTTTAATCATGCAAAGTGTTCTTTAAATTGTTCATGGTTCTATATAGAACCATTTTCTTCACTAAAGAACCCTTGAAGAACCATCTTTCACCACTGTGAACATTTCATGATGAAGGACCAATAGAAATGGTCCAAAAATGACTTGGAATAAAATCTTTATCCTACATTTAAAGTGTCACATCAGCCAAACTGAAAGATGAAATCATCGCTACATCTGTTCTAAACATGCTGACTCTCATCCTCCAGCAGTGCCGCAGTAAACTCTAGAGTGATATGTTCTGATTTAAAGGCTTAGAAAAAACCCTTCTGATGATGTATCTTGAAGGTGAGAGGAACTTTTAAAGGACGACAACTGCGTTAGATTGGTGGCTGTTTTGAAAGGTCAGTGAAGGGCAGCAGGTAACAGATGTCACGGTTAGGGTGTTGAATGTCTTATTGCAGCTGTATAACTGATGTAACTACTCTCAAGTCATCATTCCACTGGGGAGAACGAATTACTCAAACAACAGAAACGACTCATCAGATGACAAAGACAATAAGCAAAAAGCTGAAGTTAGCAAGGTAGCCGGCTATATAAGTACTTTAACTCAGTTTGGCTTCTTTTCTCTGACTAAAATCTTATCATCTGTTTTGTGCTGGATAAAGAAAGTATGACTTTATGATTTTGTTTGACAACTGAGGTAACAGTTACACAGTTAATGCTCGTTTGATTGTATTTACTACCCTTTAACACGGTGGCTAGGCTAGCAGTCATAACTGGTTGACACCACAGGGATTCCTAATGATTGTATGATGTATTTGGACAGTACATGCTGAGTACTGTAGTGAGAGAACACTGATGAACAGGAACATGAAAATCATATAAAACTGATTTCTCTTAAACCAATAAGACTGCGATGAATGCTGCATTACAAAATATTCCATAACACGACAAATAACATATTAACACTACTTTTAGGCTTGAATGCCCGTTTGAGTAAGCTACTCCAACGCTGTTAGACCAGTTTAAAGTGCATGCTGAACTTTTTGAACAGCTGAACTTGTAATGATGGCTACTACTATGGCAGATTAAGATGATAAAGATAAAGATAAAGGTTTCTCACCAGAGCACTCATGACCATATCTGAAGTCCATGTTTGAGATTTTTGAAAAAAGATTTGTATCATTTTAATTGTTTGCCCTGTTGACCGTGCACAAACTTCATCAGTGCCTTCAGAAATTTGCCATCCAAACTGAGAAAGCATGTCGATGTATGTAAACGTGTTTAATTCCAGGAAAGATTTTAAAAGAAGTTGTCTGTGTTTGTAGCAGCCGCAGTGTCTATGCTATGGTTGGCCAAATGACTTTAAACGGATTTTATGGGTTTCCACTTCTTTTACATTTTTATTGATTCAATTGTGTTTCCGTTGGTTTGTAGCATATTCCACAAGCTTTTAGATAGATAGACAGATAGACAGATAGAATTTTATTGATACCGAAGGGAAATTGCAGTATTACAGTAGCAAGACATGTAATTGCACATAAACTTACATATATTAGGCAGAAATAAAATAGGACTAAAAAAGACAGACATAAATTAGGCAGAAATAGAAAAATAGACATAAATTAAACTATGAAAGAGTAGGAATAAAAGTATATCTATTGCATATTTACATAGCGTATAAGACAGACTTGTTGTATTTACATGAGAGCAGTTATTGCACTATGAAGTAGTTACAACACAATGAATAAAAGCATAACAATGAATATCAGCAGTGTTTACAGTCTAAAGTGCACGGTTTAAAGTAGCAGGTTTCATTCTACAGGTTCTACAAGGAAGTTAATGCATTCAGTGGGTTCTCTCAGAGTCATTCGGCTCTGTAAATGCATTCTGGCAAAAATACCACAATGCTTTGACACTTAAAAGAAAATGTACTTTTGAATACTTAAATATTCATAAAACCAAGTACTCCAGTGCTTTAACTCAAGTGAAAATTTGAGTAACTATCACTTGTATTGGAGGAATATTGGACCAATACAGTGGAACAAACCCATAACCAGGTTGGCTAAGGGCTCAAACAGGGTATTGATGTTAGTACTGAATGAATGCTGACTTGTTTAATCTTAGGACAGATCAAAGATAATGGGGGTTGATATTCACTAATGCAGTCAGTATTTTGGCAACTTAGCATGAAAAAAGGCAGTATTTTGTTTATAGGCTATTTTAAAGACCATTGTTATCATACAGTATGTCCAGTGAGAACCACTGTGTTTTTACAGTAATATATATAGTATAGTATATATTGTAGTACTTAACTACAAACTCCAGATTCACTCTGTGACAGCTTTGAATGTGTGTAGGTCACCTAAATAAATAAAAAGTTTTAGGCCTTGATCCATCTGTCACAGTTCATGAATGAGATTGGGAAAGCTGTTTTACTGTGACGTATAGCTTTGTCTTTAGAACATCATATATAATCTCGTTCTAAAACTGTCCTCTCGTTATTAACCTTTCATCCTCCTGAGCTAATTATACAGAAGGTCTAACTGGCTGCTCTCTCGCTCGTCTTTATGGTTACAGATTAGCAGCAGTTTAACCTTAGACCCCTTCTCTCTCATTCTTTTTCACTCACTGTCTCTCTCACTGTCTCTCTCTCTCTCTCTCTCTCTCTCTCTCTCTCTGGAGGCTGATTGTTGCATCCTACTCCATTCACACAGCACATTCCATTAAATGCTGGCACAGTAAAGACAAAGTTGCTAACAAATATTTGTGGCCTGTGCAGAGCTTTCAGAAAGAAAACAATTTAGACATATTGAAATTTGTAGACAATGAACACTGATTAATGAATAACTAATGAAGTTCTTAAAACAATCGTTTCATGAATTAATGAAACATATTTTGGGGAGATGTGGTCAATTCTCTGCTACCTCCAGTGTCCTTTTTGCCCCAATTTGCTTCTACTCTGCCTTTCTTTCTTCATAAGCTGCCTTCTGGCTGTATCCAGCTACCTTTCAGTGCTCTGTAAACTCATAACTGCTCCTGCACTTCAAAAGAAACTCTTTGACCGCAAGGTAATGAAATTCTGATGAGAATGATGAGCAGTAGTTCTCTCATTAAATCTTGCTCGTTGGATTATTCCACTGGTAGAGTCCTCATATTCATCAGTTCAACGATTTGTCATTTCATGGTAGATGGTGTTCTCACTTTAACACAGAGAGTGCAGAATTTTCACTTTCATTACTTTGTGAGAGTGAAGAGATGATTGTTTCTCTTATGAAATTATCGATTCATCAGTGGGGCTGGGCGGTATCAAACATATTATGATGCTGGAAGATGTCCTCAATCCATGTTAAGTATAGGATTCCTAGAAATGTAGGAAAGGTAGCAATGCAGGAAGCCTGCAACAATAATTTTGAAAAACACAAAATAGGGCTGAATAATTGGTAAAATTCTATACATTAGATAATCAAATATATTCAAAAATAAGCAGCCATTCCAATAACTGATACTTTTTACCTGTTTTATGAAACCACACACTTCCTCAACCAAACCAACTTTTATCAGCCTGATGGGAAGTTTTGTTTGTTTTTTTATTCGAGCTGGTCACCAGTAACATGCTGTTGTTCATCGCAACACAGAATGGCATGTATTTGTGCACGTTCTCTAAAAGCTTACGGATACAGACCAAACAGAGCAGTACCACCGCAAGCTGTGGGGGTAGTGTAGCTAATAGATTACGCAAGACACGATCGTAATGTCCCTCATTAATATAAGTGAAAAGAATTTTCCATCCACATATCACAATGTTTTTAATGGCCTCACAGACCACAGCCGCCTACAACGCTGCCTCTTTCATCTCTTTAGTAGTTGGTACAGTACTACGACCTTCACCACCATCACCATGTTTGTTGTTGTCAAAAGCCTTTTAATCTGGACTGCCCTCTAGTGGACATACTGCTAAACATGCATGGCAACACATGGAAGTATGTGGGCAGTGGCGGTTACATCGCTTGAAATGGACGTGTTCTTTTTCATACCTAAAATGAGTATAAATGAGCCTTTATTTTACAAAGTTGTGTGAAAAAGAGTGCAGGTTCGACCGCCTTTAATGACAAACTACTCTGGGTCTGAAACTTTCGGACAGCGTAGAAACAGAAATCAGAGATTTGAACGCAGGTGAAAAATCAGCTCCAGCGCGTGAAATCAAGCGCCAGCCTGCCAGCACCTTATTTACATATGATTTACATGAAGCACACCCTAAATCACGCAGATGTTTCGGTAGTGAGCATATAAAATGACAGCAGCTGGTGAGCCAGTGGCTGTGCTCGTAGGCAGTTTGAGGTCAAGAAGTGAGTGGTCTGCTCCCCCTACTGACCAAAATTCATAGTGTTAAAATTACAACCAATAGAAAGAATAAAATGCAATGTTCATCAGGAGGGTAGAATGATGTCATTGTGTAATGTGATTAATTTCCTAAAATAACATATATAAACACTGTATTATTGCAGTGTATTGGATGCATTTGCACTAGCTCTGTTTTGTATTGTTTATTTGTAGGTGGAGTCAGTAGTATAAAACAAAAGCACAGTGTAATGTGTCTCTTTAAATGGAACATGGAGTAGTTGCAGCATTGTTTATACCATTGTGCATGTAAAATAAGTGTATACACTTCTGCACTGGATTGCCTTGTGCACAAATTATTATTATTATTTTTATTTTATTTTTTTATTCTTATCATTGATATTATAGATATTAATGGTCAGTTTAACCACAAATCAAGTATTTTCTTCAGGGTATTAAAATATCACGCTCGAATTTACTCACGCTCCTACTAGACAGGATTTTGATCTTAAAGATATGCCAAAGATGAAACTGATGAATAATGAAACTTTGAGAAATAAGGGCCATTGATTCAAAAATGAGACTATTAAAGATAGAGAGAGACAAAAAGAACAGAGAGAGACAGACAGATATACAATAAATTGTTATATGAACTTTACAGGGGCAAACATCTATTGTTTAATATGTTATTTGCTGTGTTACTGCAGTATTCTGGGGCGTAGCATGGCACCCCTCAGCCTCATCGGTTTGACAGAATTCACAATTTTGTACAAGTTGCTGTTTATCATTGTCCTCTCACTATAATACCCTGCACAAAAATACGTCTCACAACCATTAGGAGTCCCTGTGGTGTCAACCAATTATGACTGAGTTATAGGCTAATAAATACAACTGAGCTACAATCAGTGTAACTCTTACCTCAGTCGCTGAACAAAATCATACAGAAAACAGGGATTCTATCATTCTTCAGCTCAGAATGGACACCAGAGACAGTTTTTACCCTTTCAGCCAGAGAGAAGAAGCCAAACTAAGGTGGGATACCCAGATAACCAGCTTCCATTGCTAGCTTTAGCCTTTAGTTGGCTGTCCTCCTCATCTGATGAGTCATTACTGCCGTCTGAGTAATTCATTCTGTCCGTTGTAATCATGATCTGGAGACCCTTACTGCGGTTATACAGCTACAATAAGATCTGGCTTCCTAGCAGTAACATCAGCTATCTCTCTCCAGGTAATTATCATGTCACCTCTAACAAAGAACTGGGTCACCAACATGGCTAAAGTAGCTTCACTGGCCTGGCTCTGTTCCAGTAATCCATATTGCTTTGGCCCTGCTCCAATCCTCTTGACTGCTCCCTACCCTTGTCTCCTTGCTTTAATTATCTATCTGAATGGCTCCATCTGCACTGAGTGTGTACATACTGGCACACTCAATTTTCCCCAGCATTCTTCAGTGATGATAAATTCACTGGAGTGCACTGTTTGAATGGCTGTACAAATGCAAGGTTCTCCAGCTCCAGCGGTTCTTACTTAAATCAGTCTGATTAAGCTCATAAAAGACTTCATAATTAGTTGAGGAGTTGACTCAGCTCGCAAGTTGCCCATTCGTTTGGCTCTGTGGATTCAGGCTGGCATTACTCCAGCTGGAAGCCACTTCTGTGACCATTTCATAGTCAGGCTGATCAGTATGTTGAGATGAACTACACATCACAGCAAAACACGTAAAGCGTGTGGACGTAACAGTGGCCGGAACTCTTGATGTTGGTGCGTCAGCCATATGGACCTCTGATTCATATTACAGAAGGAAGTCTCATCTTAATTTAGCTTTGAATTATTTGAAGTTTGAATTCTAATGATGCAGGGAGTTCAAGATAGCATCACTGGAAAAGAATAAAATTGGTTGGACAGCAAGAAAAAAAAACAAAAAAACAAATGAGATAAAAATATTGGACTTAAACTGCAACTAAACATTTCCGGTAGCTGTTAGTTAGTCCTGCACATTGGCTTGGTGGAATTTTAGCCCCTTTCCTACATACAAAACAGCTTGAACCCTGTTATGTTGATGGGTTTCCTTCCATTTCGATAGGATTAAGGTCAGGACTTTGACTTGGCCATTCCAAAACAGCTCACAGACAGATGTCCAGACATTTTCCTTTAGAATTTGCTGGCATAATTCAGAGTTCAATTTTCCATCAATGATGGCAAGCCATTCTGCCCCAGATGCAGCAAAACAGGCCCAAACCATGATACTACCACCATCATGTTTCACAGATTGGAAAAGGGGTCATAACTTGATTGCACACTGTTCAAGTAAGTTATCCCTCTTTCACAGTGTTCAAGGAGTTCTCTTCTACATCGTTCTAAGATGTTGTCCTCCATTTATGCTATTCTAGAATGTTCTCTCCTCCATTCACACTGTAGCAGAATGTTCTCCCTCCTTCACATCATACTAGATTGTTCTTTCCAGTTCGATGTCCTAGAAGGTTCTCCTCCATCCACACTAGTTCATTTGTCAGTTGGGGATCAGTATAAAGTCAAAGGCCAACATTAGACTGGTGGTGTTTAGTGAATAACGTAGGGTCAGTTTGCACTGATATTGAGCATTAAACTCAGCTCATCAATGAAAAAGTGATGTGTTAACTTTATGTGATTCAAATGTGCAAGTGTGTAATTTAAACAACACTAGACACATCAACACAATTATAGACAAAGGTGGATTATATTGTAAATCATGTACACATTTGAATCGAGTAAAATCAGTACATTTTTTGATATTTTGTCATTTTTGATATTTTGGCTCAGACTGCCAGCAGATCTTGAGCCTCTCGGTGTTTCTGACTTGCAGGACGTCAAGAGAGAGAGGTCCAGGTGACCAAAGAAGAGGCCAAATTTGTGATTTCAGACTTTGACTACAGTAAAGAGTACACCTTCAAAATCATCGCCCTCAACGGCGGCCAGCAGAGCAAACCATTACTGGGCAGCTATAAAGGTAATTTTGGACCAGTTTTATCGCTGCTCAATATTTACATAATAATGTTTAATTGTATGTTATTGAAACTGCATGCATCACAAATAAGGACAACAGTTAAATACAGTGAATATGTTCTAACATGTTAATTTCCATATGGCTCAATGCCATATTATTGCTTTTAAATGTTAATACATATTATACATGCAGTATTATAAACAGTACAAGTAATTCTGTGAATTGATGCTGATTTCTTCATACATTTATTGTAATTTCTGTAATCTTGTTTGTGCAGTTGTGTGGACTCAAACGTACTGTACCAAAGTTTCAGGCACCTCAGCAAACTCACTTACTTTCTAAACTAAATCACATTAACTGCTCCATAAGCTCAGTCTAAATTGCACTACTGTTTATATTTGCACTATTTATACCCACAGACCTTAATCTGTATGTGCCTCATGTCACTTTAGTGTTAATTTCAGGACCTTCTATATTTATATATTTTTTTATTATTCTATTTTTCTACAATTAGTGTTTATTTTTACGATTAGTGTTTAGTGTTTTTTTAATATCTATTTAAATTCACACTTTTCCTGTTTACTTTCTATTTAATGTTATTGCTACACCATGGGGTCTGAGAGTAACGCAGTTTCAATACTCTGTATGTCCTGTACATATTGTAGTATTGACAATAAAGCTGACTTGACTTGACTTGAAACTGTTTAAAACAAATTTATCTTGGCAAGCCAGGTCATTCATGCCTGTGAAAACACTGTATAACATTAGAATAAATACAAGTAAACATGTACATGTATTTCCTCTGGATTTCTCCTCAACAACCCTGATATTTGCTAAATTCCTCCACCAGCACACCTGAATTGACTTAATGAAAGGCTAATTAGCCAAAATAGTTTGGATGAAAACTACAAATAATACTGGGCTGACTTGAGGAGAAGTTTGGAAAAAGCTAAGTGAACACATTAACATTTAAAATAAACAAACAAGATAAACAGCCTTTTAAAAACTTTCTGAGGTGCCTAAAACTTTTGCACAGCACCGTTTTATTAAATGTACAGTATGTGGAACAGTGGAACAGTGTTGGTTGGTAAGCGTTAAACACATTACACATATATATATATATATATATATAAATATATATATATATATATTATAAGTAAGTGTTAGTGTTGCAGCCAGATTAGTGTAACGCTGTTTATCTGTTTACACTGTTCTAGAATTTTTCCCTCGCTCACAGTGTTCTAGAATGTTCTCCCCTTTATTATTGTTGTAGAATATTCTCCCCTTTCACAGTGATCTTGAATGTCCTCCCTCATTCATACTGTTATAGAAAGTTCTCTCCCTACTTAAATAGTTCTAGAATGTTCTCCTCATTCACAGTGTTCTCCCTGTTCAGGGTTGTAGGATATTTTCCCCTTTCACAGTGTTCTAGAGTGTCCTCCCCCATTTATGCTGTTATGGAAAGTTCTCTCCCCTCTCAAATACTTCTAGAATGTTCTTCTCTCACTCACAGTGTTCTAGAATGTTCTCCCCTCATTCAGTGTTCTAGAATGTTCTTCTTATTCACAATGTTGTAGAATATTCTCCCCTTTCACAGTGTTCTATAATGTCCTCCCTCATTCATACTGTTTTGGAAAGTTCTCTCCCCACTCAAATAGTTCTAGAATGTTCTTCCCTCACTCACAGTGTTGTAGAATGTCCTCCCCTCATTCCCAGTGTTGTAGAATGTCCACCCTCATTCAAACTGTTTTAGAAGGTTCTCTCCCCACTCAAAAGTTCTAGAACATTACGCCATTCTTCTCAAAGTGTCTGAAATATAAAATGAGATTCCAGAGTAATTTTGAGGGCACTATAAAATCCCACAATGCCTTTGTCATTTCAAGTGAACACTGTAAATCACTATGTCAGCTGAATGTCTCTCGTTACTAAGCGATGTGCAGGGGCACGTTGGCTAACGTTAACGGAGGCCACTGAGGTGCTGGAATCAAAACTAGCTAGACTCTCTGGAGAAACACTACAAAAAACAACAGCTCTTGAATTTGATAACGCTAATGCTGCTCATCACACAGCAAAACTCTGACTGGTAACTGTAGGTTACAGCATACATTGACCAAGAATGAGTCAAGACTTTTTCTGCATCCTCTGCGGTTTGCTACACATTACAGCCAGGCATACAGCTAAAAATAAGACGTCAAATTCAGCCTCGCAAATCCCCAACGTTAGATCTGTTTATGTGACTGTTGAGTACGAGGCTGGTCAGTGATGTGATAATGTCTGAATTACTTTATGATTCCTGCGTTTTTAACACTATTTGATAGACAAAATAGTTCTCCCAGTCTGGCACAATACATATGAGGGAGTAGTGATGCATTTCAGTGACAGCCACAGTGTTCTAAAATGCTCTCCTAATTCACACTGTTCTAGAACGTTCTCAATTCTCTATGTTCTAGAACGCTCTCCTCAGTTCACTTTGTTTTGGAATATTCTGCCCATTCCCACCGCTTGGAATGCTCTCCCTCATTTGTATTCTTCTTGAACGTTCTTCCCATTCACACTGTTCTAGAATGTTCTACCTGTTCACATTGTTCTAAAATACTCTCCCCATTCACACTGTTCTAAAATGCTCTCCACATTCGCACTGTTCTAGAATGTTCTAGCTGTTCACACTGTTCTAAAATACTCTTCCCATTCGCCCTGTTCTAAAATACTCTCCACATCCGCACTGTTCTAGAATGTTGTCCTTATTCATGCTGTTCTAAAATGCTTTTCCCATTCACACTGTTCTAGAATGTTCTACCTGTTCACACTGTTCTAAAATACTCTTCCCATTCGCCCTGTTCTAAAATACTCTCCACATTCGCACTGTTCTAGAATGTTCTCCTTATTCATGCTGTTCTAAAATGCTCTTCCCATTCACACTGTTCTAGAATGTTTTACCTGTTCACACTGTTCTAAAATACTCTCCCCATTCGCACTGCTCTAGAATGTTGTCCAAATTCACACCGTTCTAAAATGCTCTTCCCATTCACACTGTTCTAGAATGTTTTCAATTCATGCTGCTCTAGAATGCTCTCAATTCATTCCGTTCTCCTCAGTTCCCTTTGTTCTGGAATATTCTCCCTATTCCCACTGCTTAGAATGCTCTCCCTCATTTGCGCTCTTCTTCAATGTTCTCCCCATTCACATTATTCTAGAATGTTCTACCTGTTCACATTGTTCTAAAATGCTCTTCCCATTCACATTGTTCTAGAATGTTCTCCCTATTCACACTGTTCTAAAATGCTCTCCTCATTCACACTCTTCTTGAATGTTCTCCCTCATTCATTCACACTGTTCTGGAATGTTATCCCTATTCACAGCATTCTAGCATTTTCTCCTCCATTCACATTGTTCTAGAATGTTGTCCACTTCACAATGTTCCTAAATGTTCTTCATCATTCATGTTATTTTAGAATGTTCTCCCCATATTTACATTGTTCTAAAATGTTCTTCCCAATATAGTGTTCTAGAAAGTTTTTTTCCCCACAATTCATGTTATTTTAGAATGTTCTCCCTGTTCACACTTTTTAATAGAGTTCGCCCCCATTCACACTGTTCCAGAGTCAGTTCTGGAACAGTATAAAGTCTAGGTTTACATTAGACTGGTGGTGTTTATTGTATGACGAGGGTCAGTGCGCACTGAGCTTCAGTGTTGTTAAGGGGTTAATGTGGAAATGATGTACATATTTGAATGAAGTATATTCAATACATTTTAATTAGCTTATTAAGGAATCCCAATCCCATAATTAGCTTATTAGGGAATCCCATATTGGCTGGATCACATGCATTATTCCTGACCTGCATTACAGGAATCCAAACCGCTGTTGCAGACATGAGACACCCCACACATAATGACAGATACCACTGACTTTTTTGTCCTGCGTTGTTCCTCAGTTATCAAAGCCCTGTACTACGAGATATACCGCACTACCACTCAAGCCTGAGATCTTGCAGAATTTCTCATGAACAAATGTAACTTTAGATGAAAACCAACATGACAGACGACAGCAATTTATTTGATTATTAATATAATATGGTATTTGTTTTTTTACGATGTAAAAGGTGTAAAATACTTTCTAGTTCTGGTCAACTCTCATTCGTATTAACCATGGGCTGGTAGTGATTGGACTGTGAGTAAAAAAGAGAAAGGAGAGAGAGAGAGGGAGAGAGAGAGAGAGAGAGAGAGAGAAAGGGGGGGAAAGGTAGAATTATAGACACTCCACACCACAGGATAATCTGGGAAGATAATAAGACCTTCCTTTTGCAATTGTCAGGAGGGACAAGTCGACCTCAAAATCGGCCTGATTGTCCCGTATTGTGGGTCAGGCTTTAATGTTAGGTAAGGGGGGTCAGCATGTTGGACAGAGTTTAAAACTAAACTCTGTGTAAAGTAGATCTCTATAAAGAGGCTTGTTGACCACTGGATTAGTGTAATGGCATTTATGCGTAATGGTATATGTGAGTAACTGTAACGGTGTTAATTGACCCACAGCGTCAAGGTCAGAGGTCACTGACAGCAGCCTGCAGACACACAGAGAGAGGCAGAACAGCGAGCCTGAGCAGGACAATGAGATCAGCGAAGGTAAGGTCAGAGGTCAAGCTGGAACTGACCTCGGCAAAGTGGGGTCAGACACGGGCCTGAATGGACAGTAACTCAACTCAGGGTCAGCTGGGGAGTGTGTGTGGGTGTTTGGGCAGCTGTGTGAGTGTCTGGGTTGTGTGTGTGTGTGTGTGTGTCCCAGCTGTCGGATGGGAGCGCTCTAGGGTTACCATGGCAACCCAGAAAAAGCCCCAGAACAGCTATAGCATTCAAAAGCCTGGATGAAAAGCACAGGGCATCCCATTGAAACTGACACCTGCTGCCAGTTCTTCGCCCTACAAAGAGAACCAGACCTAAAGAAGAGGAGGACAATAACGAGCTTGAACATTAACCAGAACTTCAATCGGTCCCATCAGTAAGCCGTCCTGAGGAGCGCCAGTGCATCTGATACAGGGAAGGCTGCAAACTTGTAGTTTAAACAAGGTATGTTCAGTCTACTTCATATTCACATTGCGTTCCTCTATGTGTTTAAAAAGGCCCAACTAAATAAGAAGTTCACCTAAATCATGTTTATGTTAAAGGGGCACTCTGGCCATCGCTACCTCTGTTGTAAACGTGCATACATGCCTTCTACAATGGTGCTTAAGGAAAGGGGTCTCAAACTCAAAGCAGCTGGGGGGCCAGTAGCCAGGTGGTCTTCTCTAAGGAGGGCTGGTTGGAAGAAAAGCAGGGAAATGGAGTCCAACTACATAACACATACACTTATTCAAGCTGAAATTCAATAGAAATGCTTGTGTCACTGCAAACCACAAATACTACTATTACTACTGCTACAACTGCAAACAACAACAACAACAACAACAATAATAATAATAATAATAATAATGATAATAAAATTGTTCACTTAAATTAAGCAAAATTACATTCAACAGTTGAACTGGATACTTATTGTAGTAGCGTTATTGTTCTTGCTGAACGTGCCAGTACAAGTGAAGTTACTGCAAGTAGTGTTGATAAAGTGGTTAAATCTACATTCTCACTGGATTCGTTTGAAAAGTCCATTTATTTCTTAATTCTGGCACATTGTATCTACTCTGCACACCCATGTGGGTCCAGTGAGGGGCCAGTGTGGGCTAAAAACTGAGCCCACCATGGGCGTGTTAGGGCCCAATGCTGGTGGCCCACACTAAGCCCTCATTTCAGGACTTATGGTATGCTGCCACCCTGGGGCCCTAACACTGGGGCCCATACATACCCCTGGTTTCACAGCTGACTGGATCCCCACTATGGGCAGGCTGCAGTTAGAGCTTAGGGCTTAGTGTGGGCTGCCACTATAGGGGTCTGCATGTACCCCCAGTTTTGCGATTGACTCCATTACTAAATTAGTTAAGCTAAGTTACTTATAGCCTTGACCACTCAATGTCCAGCATTCATGCTGCATCAGGTTTTTGTTTTAGTGGTTCCTCTTGTGCTCAGTGCTCTGTTTTTCCTTTTCATTGTAATCGTCAGTCAGAGAACATGAAGAAATGGATCAGTCGATGAGGCTGAAGGATAAAATGCTGCGCTAAGAGTGAAACACTTATTAAACCTTACTTTTAGGCTGGAATGCACCTGTAAGCTTAATTGGTATAGTAAGCCAAGCAAGTCCAGACTGAAATGGATTGTGTGAATAATCTTTACAGATTTTAATTTAGTGCAAGAGAAGACAAGAAGTACCTTGATTAAGCATGCTAATGTGGAAAAACAATGAATAGAAGTTGGTAGAAACTGATTAGCATCAACTCGTTTCTGTAATGGTAATTGAGGTCTGTTCATTTTCATTCATTTTTGGTGACATTAGCTTTTTTTATTACACCATTCCTTTATTCTGACTGAAATCTGACCATCATGATATACATTCAGTTTAAACGTCAACACAGAGCAGAAGTCACCCAGACCTTTATGAGATTAGTGCTCTGTGATGGGCTGCGAGTCATGATTGATGGTGTGATTTAGGCCCAGAATAGACACAGTCTGCGTGTGGGGAAGCAGCCATGTGTGGTTAGAGTTAAATGAGTTTTTTATTCGCAGGAAGGTGGATTTGAAATTTTTTGTTTTGTAAGTTTTATTACTTTCATGCGAGAGGAGAGGCTGCTGGTGGTTTTGCATCACTGCATCACTTTGGGGTGTAAAAAATGTCACATGTTTAGCCCTGCGCGTTTGATTCATGGATTTAGACAGAGTTAGATGAAAGCTGGAATTCTGCTAAAGGCATTTGGCTTCGCTAACATGGCATTAGTGGGAGACGTGGTGTGTGTAAGTGTGTGTGTGTGTGTGTGCACGTGTGTGTGTGTGTGTGTGTGTGAAGTATGTACGTTGAGGGCTGTCATTACAGAGACTGCTGGAGTAGACAAAGCTGAGAAAAAGCTATAAAGACCATAGAGCTCATTTCCACCTCAGTGACCAGCAACCGACAGAGCACTCCAGAATGGGCAATATGATGATATTTTATTGTTGTCGTGATACACAACACACTTTACTGAGCATGTTGCAGATATCATCAGTACTTAAAGAGCACAGCCCAACTGCATGTTTCATTACAAAGAACATAATTAGTCCTGCTGAGCTGGATTTAGTGCAGCAGTGTATGTGAATCGGTAAATAATAATTACTGAATTCATAGTTTTGAAGTTTTTAAATGTGACACTACTAATGCATTGTGATACTAGTGCATTGTCATACTAGTGCATTGTGTCTGTATGTCAAAGTATACATGTTCGTTATTAGAGAGCAAAGCAAGGATGAAATACAATAAAACACTTGCACACATTCACACACTATTTGCACATACACACACACTACTTACACACCTATATGAAACACTTGCACATACTCACACAGTTTATATTCACTATATATACACACAGACAGGGACACTCTCGTACATTCTGCTTGTACGTACGTACTGCTACTAATAATAAAAATAATAATAATAGTCATACTACTACTACTACTACTAATAATAATATTATTATTTTTATTTATCTAGCACTTTTCATCCCGGTGGCAGCTCAAGGTGCTTTACAGACAGGTAAAGTTAAACAGTAATACAAAAAAATAAATATAAATATAGAATCAAATAAGAAAATAACACAGATCAAATTAAAAGATAAATACCTCGAGTTTTAATTAAATGCTAGAGACACATTTTTAGATGCGTCTTAAAAGTGAGCACTGAGCTTGACTGTCTAATAAAGGTGAATTTAGTTTCACAGTTTAGAAGCAGAATAACTGAAAGAGTCTCTCCATGTTTTCTGTATTTTACAGAGGGTATCTGTAGAAGGTCAGTATCTGCAGATCTTAGCTTACGTGCTGGATATAAACAGACAGACACTCTGTGATGTAAGCAGAGCTTTAAGGTCATTTAGAGCCTTAAAAACTAGGAGCAAAACTTTAAAATCTATTCGGAATGATACATGTAGTCAGTTCAGTTCTTTTAAAGTGGAAGTGATATGACCTTTGTTTTGTTTTTGTTAGGGTACTGCTGCATTTTGTACGAGCTGTAAGGGATGTGTTGTTTTTTTAGGAGTCCAGTAAGAAAAGCATTACAGTGATCAAGTCTGCTTGTAACAAATGCATGAACAAGTTTCTCTGAGTCCCTCTGAGAGAGAAAAGGCTGAACTTTAGTGATATTTCTCAAATGATAGAAAGCTACTTTAGTGACTGTGTTTACATGCGGGAGAAAACGGAGCTCAGAGTCTAAGATCGCACCCAGGTTTCGTAGGTTTGGTATATGAAGCTAAAGAACCAAGTTTCCCATGAAGCAGCTTTCTGCTGAGTTTTTGTACCAATGATCAGTATTTCATTTCATCTGTGATTTAATTGTAGAACATTTTGCGACACCCACTGAGAAATATCTGACACACCACTGGTCAGTCTGTCTACTGAGTCTTGATCATCAGAAGGAATAGAAATGTATAACTGGGTGGCATCAGCATAGCTATAAAAATGTGTATTATGTTTCCTAATCAAAACCTAGTGGTATCATGTACAGGGAGAAAAGCAACAGCCCTAAAACTGAACCCTGTGGGACTCCACAAGGAATGTCAAATCTTTTCGATGAATGATTTCCAATTGAAACGAACTGAACTACCTATTACCTAAATATGATTTAAACCATTCTACATCTGTGCCAGAGAGGCCAACCTAGCATTCAAGATGCTGGATTCAAATCTTGTGGTCAGTTGAACACCGTGTTTTAGAAAGTAGGAGCAGCACAGGGAAAAAGAATTTCTGAAAAATTAGCCTTTTCACCTGTAATCAGCCTTTGAGATATGTTTAGCAGTTAGGATATTTTCTTTACACTGCTGCATAATATACTTGGTTCCTCTGTATGAAATGAATTGATTGCATTCAATAGAGAGAAGTATTTCTACACCTGTACGTCATTCCAGTGACATTGAATCAGCAGTTCTACAGACTCAGCTAAATTCTATTACTCATCCTCTGATAAGGTGATTTAGACCATCAAACTATCCTGCTTATAGATTTATGTAGAGCATTACCTGTAAATATGTGCAATGGTAGGACATTTCAAGCAGGTAGGATAATCAATCAAAACACTGGCAGTGCCTCCAGGAGTTATTGTTGGTGAAACTATGAGAATATTGCTTCCTTGGTGCCTTCAAACTGTTGTAAAAGGAGTATTAGATGCTGCTATAGTGACTCCAGTAGAGTTGTGCATTCACTCTCTGTGGGCTCTTCATACAGTTATGATAGAACGAATGCTTCTTGTGTGGTGCTCCAGTTCAGTGAAGAGCCCAGCAAGTCATCCTGTACACAGCAGAGGACGTGGTAGAAAGTGGCCCTTTTAAATGAAACATACACTCAACAGACTCTCAGTAACATCAAAAACATATGAGGGTTGGGATTAGGTTTTGAATTGAGGTTGGGGTTAGAGTTAGGATTAGGTTTTGGATTGAGGTTAAGGTCAGGGTTAGGATTAGGTTTTGGTTGGTAAGGTTAGATTTTGCTTAATGGAAGTTACACATTCACAATACATC